CCCCCTGCGGGTTCGGGTCGCTCATCGCCCGGCACCACGCGTGGGAGCACGCCTCCTGGTAGCGTCGCTGACCCCGACGCTGCCATCACTGCCTTCAGGGCGGGCTGCCCAGCAGCCGCCAGGCCCTGGGCCTGCAGGGCTGCCTTCTCGCCCACTGCTGCCTTCGCGCGAGCCTTGGCAGCGGCGCGAGCACGAGCCCGGCGAGCCGCCTTGCACTCGCCCCACGCAGCCTGACTGGCAGCGGCTGCGCCGTTGGCCTCCTGCTGGGCGTCCTCATCCTCGGCGGCGTCCGCTGCGTCAATCGCTGCCTGCGCCTGCAGCTGAGCGGCCGCCATAGCAGGACTCGCCGCGGCAGAGGGCTGTGCGGCGGCGGCCTGCGGCGCTGCAGCGTCGCGCTGCGCGGGCTGAGCAGTCGGTGCAGGATTGGCATCAGCTGCTGGCTGCGTGGCTGGAGTCGTCGTAGCAGTAGTCGCCGCCATGCTCGCTGCCGCCGCGATCTGCGCCAGTGCCGACTGCAGTCCGCCTGGGGCCGTGGCCTGCCCCGCCATCTGTTGCGCCATGCTCGCCCGGCCCTGCAGGAGCTCGGCGATCGCTGCGACCGAGGCGCCAGGCATCTGGGCGGGCGCCGTCGCCGCGGGCGCGGTGGGCGCCGCGTCCTCCGCCACAGGCGTTGCGGCGCCCTGCATCTCGACATCATTGGTGGCGACTGGCAGCGGGAAGAGGGTCTCGAGCTGCTAAAGCAGTACCTGCGCACGGGCCAGCTCGCTGGCACGATGCGGCTGGACCAGCTGGCGGGTCTCGTGCTCAATCATGGCCTCATGCGCCGCCTTTTCTGCGCGCGGTGCGGTGTTTGGGCGCGCTCGACGAACGCCCGCTGCCGCGCAAGGCGCACCTCCGAGGTCCTGGCTACGATGATCATTGTCAGCAGGACTGAGTATTCCTGCTCCTGCGCCTCCAGGATGCTGGTCGGCAGGCCGAGCTCGCGGGACGCGCGAAGCATCTTCGCAGACGCCACTGCCACACGGCCGAGGTTGCGCCTGTGAGTGGCCAAGGCAGCAGGGTCCGTGCGGGGCTGGATCCAGGCTGGGTGTGCTCGCGCCTGCTCTGGCATTACAGGGAGCACGCCGAGGGCCTCCTGCGGTCCTCCGCCGTCTCCTCGGTCGACTCGGGCACACTCTCGTCAAACGTGACGTCAGTGGCTGGCGAGCGACGGCGGGCTGACTGGCGACGGGAAGGCACCTCTGGGGCTGGTTCCTCCGCAGGCTCGCCATCGCGCTGCTGGGGCTGGGGCGGCGGGGCACGGCTGGGGCTGCGCGCCGGCCTCGAGGTGCGTCGCCGTCTGTGCGAGCTCCGCTGATCTCGTCCACTTCCTTGCTAGCCGCGCCCTCCACCATCGTGCTGCTGCCCGCTGCCTGCATGCTGTTGCTGGTGCTGCGGCTGGTCACGGAACACGCTGAACGCGGGGCTCTGCTGCGGGAGCGGGTAGAATGTCTTGCACATCATGTCATTGGCGGCGTTGGTGTGACCACATGCGGGACACCACCACGGCGGGGGCGGCGGGGACGGCGGGGACTGACCGCCCTTTCCTCCGCCTTTGCCTCTGGCCTGCCGTCGCGCTGTGGTGTGTCGCCAGGCACTTCGCCGCGCTCGCTATGCGCAGCACCGGTCGAGCTTGTATGCTCCGGCACGCCTGTGCCAAGCCGGCTCGCTGCCGCCGCCGCTGGGCTGCTGGCGCGGCGCGCCGCCAGCAGGAGGGCGCCTAGGCCGAGGGCCTCCAGGCACGCCAGGAGCCGCGCGCGAGGCGGCGCGGCGGAGCCCTGTCCGCCCGATGCGCGGGCGCGGGCCGGCGCGCGTGGCTGCCCGCCCCGAAAGAGGTTCGCCGTGCCTGGTACGGCGCCCGAAACCTTTCGAACCGGGGCGGCAGCTCAGGCCAGGGGGGAGGAGGGAGGAGGCTGGAGGGAGGAGGGAGGAGGGAGGGGGGTGAGGAGAAAGGGGACCTAGGAGAGGTGGGAGGAAGGAGGGGGAGGAGGAAGGGGGGAGGAGGGAGGAGGAAGGAGGGAAGCAGACAAGGAAAGAGGAAGGAGGGGGGGGAGGAGTGAGGGGGGGAGGGATAGAGGGGGAGGAGGGATAGGGGGGGTGAGAGGGGAGATTGGGGGGGCAGAGGGGGTTCGAAAGGGGAGGGAGGCCCAGGCATCCGACGCCTCGAACAAAAAAACAGACGTAGGTTTCCCATCCGTGTCGGCCTCGGAGCTCCGGCATCCGGCTCCGGCAGCATCAAAAGACGGCTCGGGTTCTGATGTTCCAACCTGCTTTAGCCTTGACCACCAGGAAGAATTCCGAACACCAGAAAAACAGTACCGAAATTGCAGGGTTTTCACGTGTCGGGCCCTGGGAGACACTCGTTCGATACTGTTTCGACATCGTTCCGACACCGTTTCGACAATTGTCCGGGTGTTCGAAATTATTTATGGGATGTGGTCCGTAGGTATGATGGGAACAACATAAGGCTCGGGATGAAAAGCTGGCCTCGGGGAAATGGCATTTTTGGGGGACCCTGTCATGGCGAAATCTATGTGCGGGACGTTTTGGGAAGGAGGGGCGGGCACCTGGGCTGGAGGTCGGAGCGCGGACGCTGGATGTCGACGGTGCAGCGACGCACGCGTGCCGGAGCTTGGAGGCCGCCGGGGCTGCCACGCAGGATGGCAGCGCTCCGCTCGCGGATGGCCAAGTACCGTGTGGATAACCCAGATGGTCTGGTACCGGAAATTTTCGGTAGCAATTTCGACGCACCCCGAATTTCGGTAGCGACCGGATCTTCGTTTGAGGGCGTTGAAATAGCGGATTTCAGAACGCTCTGATACCGGTATTGGGCGCTACATTTCGGTATTTCGGTAGCGACCGATCTCTGCGGAGCGCTACCGGAAATTTTCGGTAGCGGACCATCGGGGAAGGGCACGCGTGCCCTTCCGCTGCCATCTTGGCGCACGGCGCCCCGGCCACCTGCAGCAACTTCGCTTTGTCTTCCCAGCCCATCCGGCCCGCTGCGGCAAGGGGGTTTGTAGCGGGCGGGCCTGGCCTGTGTGAATCACTGTTGGTTCCCGCGCAGTGCACCCAGGAACACAGGCAGGGCGGCTGGGAAGCTCAGCGTGCTCTAATCATTTGCTCGGCTGTGTTCGGCACATTTGTTCGTAATCGCTTGTTCGGCAACTCTCTGGGATTTTGGTGTTCTGCGGAGCAATCACTTGTTCGGACCGTTGTTCGGCAAATCGCGGCTGTCATCACCGGGGTCGGCATGTGTTCGCAAGTGTCCGGCTGTAATCTCAGTGTTCGCCTTGTGTTCGGCTGTAATCTCAGTGTTCGCCTTGTGTTCGCATGTGTTCGGGCATGCGCTTATCTGCGCCCCTGGTTCTCCTTGGCGAAGATGCTGTGTTCGCGCCAGGGTCTGCTGCAGCCCCTGGGGTCGCGGCCCAGCCCTGGAGGACGTCTTCGCACCTGGGAAACTTAGAAAAACATGCTTCAGGCCCCGAAAGCTGTATTTGGGTGTTTCTCGCAGCCCCTGGGCAGCCCTGAACGACGTTTTCGGGCCTGGGGACCTCGAAAGAAAAACAAATCGACCGATCGACGTGCCGACTCGACCGATCGGCGTATCGCTCGACGCCGGTGGCGGCGGCGGCGGCGCGCTGGACGCCCGCAGAACCCCGGCGCGGCGCCGCCGCCGGCGCGCCCTCCCCCGCGAGAGCGCCCTCCGGGGAGCCGGCTGGGCCTCCGCCGGCCAAGGCCCGCCCACCCGCAAGCAGTGGCGAGGCGTCCTGGCTCGCCGATAGGCCCACCGAAGAATGTGCTAAGACCATTTTGTGGTCTGCACGAAGTGCTCCCATAACAGTTCTGGCCGGGGCTGTCTTGTTGTAGCACAGCGGGGCTTCTGTTCCAAGAGCAGGGCTCTGGTTCTGAAGACATGTTTGGGTTCTGAGAACGTCTCGTGACAGGCCTATAGGAATGCCGGGACGGTCGGTCCCTGCTCAACACCCCCCTCCCGAGCTTAACTAGTCGTCGTCGTGGGCGTCCGCCGCCCGGGCGTTTTGGCCCTGTTTTAGGCCCCGGGGCCCTCATGGGCCGAGTCGGCCAGCAGAGTGGCGCCGAAAGGTGGGGTCTGGGGGATCTCGGGGGAGGGCCGTGTCGTCGTGGTCGTCTATAGGGTCCCGGGGCTTCTTTCGCGCGCGTTCCCAGGGATGCTCGCCGCCGCGGCCCGACGTGGCTCTCGAAAGGCTGGCCAAGATGGACACAGGGAGGCTTCCGGGGACCGAGTCTGGCTGGACGAGGGTCGGCTCGGAAGGCGACGTCGCCCCCCGAGGGAGAGGAGGGGGACTCAGACGTCCAATCGGAGGAGGACTTGGAGGAGGAGCAGCAGGAGAAGGTTCAGGAGGAGGAGAAGGAGGAGGAGGAGGTTTAGGAGGAGGAGGAGGAGGAGGAGATCGAGCTGTCCCTCAGATCCCGTTCCCCGCCGCTGTCGTTGTCGGGTTGCTGCTCGATTATCGTATACTGGCCTGGTAAGTCGGCCACGCGCAGAGGGGGAATATGTGGGGAGGGGGGAGGCTTCTCAGAGGCACCCCTGCTTCTCAGAAGGCGCGGGCCTTGCCTGTGGACGTGAGGCCGGCGCCTTCTGAGGCGCAGCCTCCTTCTAAGGAGCCTTTCCCCCCTCCCCCTATGTAACCCTCTCGTGCGCGCCGCCAACGGAGACAGATCCCGGCGCCGAGCCCGGCGCACGTTGTCTCGGAGGCATCTCCACGAGTCCGAGCTGCCCTGCGCCGAGGCGGGCAGCGAGCGGCCGTCCTGGACGGAGCTTGTGGCGCCTCCTCCTGCGAGCCAGTATCGGCCACGTGCAGAAGGGGGGTAGGGTTATGTCGGGCGTGTCCCCTACAGGGGGATCTTCGACGAAAAATAAAAAATGTTTCAAAATAGTTAAAAATAGTCCCAAAAAAAGTCGCACTTTGCACCTGGAGATGCTGAGCCACCTGAGAACGCGCCTCATCAGGGAGAGGTCGGCGTACGCGGAGCCCATCGCGCCCGACAGGTCCATTTGCGCGGGGGCCAGGCGCGGCATCGATTTCGGCAGGGTGGCGCTGTACACGGTGCTCGAGAAGGTGAGCACGAAGTACGAGCAGGTCTACGTGCGGTCGTGGGTGAACGACGTCACGACCAGGATGGAAGGCTCCAAGCGGGAGGTGGTCAGGCAGCTGGCCAGCGCGGGAGTGGACTTCGCAGCTGGCGTCAAGAGGGCGCGGCTGACCTTGCCCACGAAGTCCGCACTCATCGGGAACGACATGGACGTGGTGAAGAAGGTTGCGCTGAAGCTGCACTCGCGCAGCATCACCGTAAAGGTCAAGAGTCAGGCGCCCGACCTGGGGATTGACAGGGGGCACAGCATCGCAGGAGGCAAGGGCAGGCACGCTAAAAGGACCGCCCACGCGGATCGGCAGGCCGCTCGGTGCTTGAGGATGGCACGCAGCGGCCGTCGAGCAAGGGGAGGTGCCCGAGCGGCGGTCCAGCGTGGGTCGCTTCCTCGGGCGGCATGCTCCTGCAAGGTCTTCGGGATGCCAAAGTTGCGAGGGCGGTGCCTCGCCGAGCTCCTGCAGGTGGAGATCGCGAAGGGGGACCCCGCTTTCGGTGCCGCCTTCGCGCTGCTGGGCTCCTGGATGCACGTCATCAGCGACGGCAGGAGGCGCGAGAAGGCGGAGCTCATATGGCCGAGGGTGGTGAAGAAGGTCACCGAGACGGACCCCAAGAAGCGCTGGAAGGGGGTCACGGGCGTCACGAGGGCGATGGTCAACGCGCCGCTGGACCTTGACTGGGGCCCGAAGGGCCCGTGGCACTGGGTGTCGGACGCCAGCGAGGAGTTTGGCGGCAGCGACCCCTCAGCGACGCGATCGAGAGGAGGCAGTGGTCAGCAGCGGCCAGCCACTACGCGGGCAAGGGGCTGGAGGACGGCGCGGACTTGCGTTCAGCCAGGACCCTGATCCACAAGTTCAAGGCGAAGGGTGATTACGACAAGGTGGGGGCGCAGCTCGCCCTCTTCACAGGAGGGGCGTGGCCGAGGCAGCGGGTCGCCGACCTGGGCATCGAGGTCGAAGACGCGACGTGTCCACGGTGCGGTGGAGAACCCGAGACATGGCTGTACCGCATGCATGTGGACGTGCAAGTGCAACGAGATCATCGAGGAGCGCAAGAAGTCGGAGCACCTCATCGAGCGCGCCACCAGCCGGGAGGATGCGCGGCCGTGCCTGTGGCTCAGAGGCATGTTGCCCAAGTCGTGGACGGCGGTCAGTCCGCCGCGAGAGCCCGAGAGCGCCCCGTTCGAGCGTTTCGGCGAGGTCAGCATGCACATGAGCGAGGGCGGCCAGGGCGCCAGCGACTGGCTGCTCGCGGCGGGGGGCGCGTCGGGAGGCGAGCACACGGCGGACGCAAGACTGAGGAGGGTCGCGCGGGGCTGGGTCATCGTGCAGACGACGGAGCTGAAAGAGCCGATGTTCGCGGCAGGCGCCACGGGCGCGCTGGCTGGATGGAGGCAGAGCGTCAACGGGGGCGAGCTCACGGCGCTGAAGGAGCTACTCGCAGCCGCCAGCGGGTACCAGAAGATCGGGTACACGGCCGACTCGGCGTGCGTCATGCGGAGGGTGCTCAAGCTACGGCGCGGGAGGATGCCCATGGCGCATGTGGGGCTTTGGTGCGAGGTTCGTGAGCTGATCAAGGGGAAGGAGCTCGACCTCGTGAAGATCGAGAGCCACATGAGCTCGAAGCATGCGGTCGACGCGGGCGTGGACCCCATCGACTACATCGGCAACGTCTTTGCCGACGATTTCGTCGACGGCATCATCGAGTGGGCGCAGGTGCCCAGGGCGCAGGCGCGCACGCTGGGGCTCGCGGAGGGGATCGCCGCCCATGTGCGGCCCCGCGGGCTGGCGACGCTCCAGGCCGCGATCGAGGTGGAGCCGTCGGCGGGGCCGTCGCAGAAGGAGCGGAGAGAGGCTCACATCCAGGAGAGGCGGCGAGAGAAGCTGCTCGCGAAGACGAAGCACGTGATCACGTACGACGTGGATGGTAAGCACTACGGGTGCAGCAGGTATGGAGGTCGCGTGCCCATCCTCCAGGCGGCCGCGTGGCTCGCGGATGAGTGCGTGTCTGTCGAGAGGTCGAAGGCGAGCATGCACGGCGCGACCTCGAGCAAGGCGCACATCGGCCACCAGAAGATCCACGCGAGCCACCACAGCGTGTATCACGACGAGCTGCGCCCGGCTGCATCGCGAGGGAGAGCATGCGCGACCTGGCGCAGGGATGTGCAGGCCTCCCCAAGCAGACGGGGAGACAAAACCTGTCGCGCATCGAGAAGGGCCTCCAGTCTGGGACGTCCAAGATGGCGACAGAGTGGAACAACAGGAAGCCCGGCAAGATCCAGCTCGAGTTCTACGTGGTGAGTGGCGCGCCGTTTGCGCGCTCTCGGCCCCCGGCCTGGGGGACAAGTGGCGTAGCCCCCTTTTTTGTTTCTCTTGTTTTCTCTTTCCTTGTCCTTTTTCCTGTTGTTTGTTCTCTATTCTCTTTCTTTGTTTTTTTATTTCTTTTTCATCGTTATTTTGTGTCTTCGTTTTTCTTTTCTTTTTTTGTCTTTGTTCATTTTTCTCGGTTTTTCTTCTCCTTTCGTTGATTTTTATTTTTTTTTGTATTCTTTTTTCATTGTTTTTTTTTAGTTACTTTTTCAAGGCAAAAAGTCGCCGTTGCGGTTGGCGTCGCCGCCGTCGTCACCGTCGCCGTCGCCGCCGCCGTCGTCGTCGCCGTCGAGACATCGCCGCCGTCGTCGTCGTCGTCGTCACCATCTCTGTCGCCGCCTTCGGCGTCGCCGTGGCCGTCGACGTCGCCGTGGCCGTCTCCGTCGCCGTCGCCGTCGCCGTCTTCGTCACCGCCGCTGTCGCCGTCGCCGTCGCCGTCGCCGTTGCTGTTGCCGTCGCCGCCGTCGTCGTCGACGTCGCCGTAGCCGTCGCTGTCGCTGTTGCCGTCGCCGTCGCCGTCGCAGCAGTCGCCGACGTCGTCGCCGTCGCCGTCGCCATCGACGTCGACGTCGCGGTCGTTGCCGTTGTCGACGTCGCCGTCGCCGCCGCCGTCGTCGTCGCCGTCGTCGCCGCCATCGCAGTCGCCGTCGCCGTCGCCGCCGTCGTCGCCGTCGACGCCGTCCCCGCTGTCGTCGTTGTCGCCGTCGCCGTCGCCGCCGTCGTCGCCGTCGCCAGTTCGCCGGTCGCCGTTATCCGTCGCTGTCGCGTTGCCGCGCCGCCTTCGTCTTCGTCGTCGACGCCGTCTCGGTGCCCGCCGCGCGTGCCGCCTGTTCACCGCCGGACGTCGCGCTCCGTCGTCGATGTCGTCGCCGCCGCCATCGCCGATCGTGACGTCGTCGTCATCCGCCCTTCGCCGCCGTGTTGACAGTCTCCACGCCAATGCCGTCGCTCGGCAGTACGCCGGACGTCGTCTCCGACCCTTTGCCGTCCCCGTCGCATCACCATCGCCGTCGACGTACGCTGTCGTCGTCACCATCGCCGTCGTCGTCGTCTTCGGTCGTCTCCGTCGCCTTCGCCGCGCGCCGGTCGTCGCCGGTCACCGCCCGTCGTCCGTCGTTGCCGTCGCACTGGTCGCCGTCGCCGTCGCCGCTGTCGTTCTCATCGCAGTCGTCGCCGTCGCCGCCGACGCCGCCGCCGCCGCCGTGTCGTCGTCGACGTCGCCGTCGCCGTCGCAGTCGCCGCCGTCGCCGCTGACGCCGCCGCCGCCGTCGTCGCCGTCGCCGTCGCCGTCGCCGTTATCCGTCGCTGTCGCCGTTGCCGTCGCCGCCGTCGTCTTCGTCGTCGACGACGTTGCCGCCGTCGCCGTCGCCGCCGTCACCGCCGACGTCGCCGCTGCCGTCGTCGATGTCGTCGCCGCCGCCATCGCCGTGACGTCGTCGTCATCGCCTTCGCCGCCGTTGTTGCAGTCGCCAACGCCAATGCCGTCGCCGCAGTCGCCGACGTCGTCTCCGACTCCGTTGCCGTCGCCGTCGCCATCACCATCGCCGTCGACGTCGCTGTCGTCGTCACCATCGCCGTCGTCGTCGTCGTCGTCGTCGCCGTCGCCTTCGCCGTCGCCGCCGTCGTCGCCGTCACCGCCGTCGTCGTCGTTGCCGTCGCCGTCGCCGTCGCCGTCGCCGCTGTCGTCATCATCGCCGTCGTCGCCGTCGCCGCCGACGCCGCCGCCGCCGCCGTCGTCGTCGTCGACGTCGCCGTCGCCGTCGCAGTCGCCGTCGTCGCCGCTGACGCCGCCGCCGCCGTCGTCGATGTCGTCGCCGTCGCCGTCGCCGCGACGTCGTCGTCATCGCCTTTGCCGTCGCCGCCGCCGTTGCAGTCTCCGTCGACGTCGCCGTCGCCGTCGCAACAGTCGCTGACGTTGTCGCCGTTGCCGTTGCCGTCGACGTCGCCGTCGCTGTCGCTGTCGTCGTCGCCGTCGCAGTCGGTGCAGTCGCCGTCGCCGTGACCGTCTCCGTCGCCGTCGCCGCCGCCATCGCCGTCGACGTCGTTGTCCTCGTCGCCGTCGCCGTCGTTGTCGTCGCCGTCGCCATCGACGTCGCCGCCGACGTCGCCGTCGCCGTCGTCGTCGTCGACGTCGCCGTCGCCGTTGCCGCAGTCGCCGTCGCCGTCGCCGCCGTCGTCGTCGTGACCGTCGTCGTGACCGTCGTCGCTGTATCCGTCGTCGATGTCGTTGCCGTCGCCGCCGCCGTCGCCGTCGCCGTCGCCGCAGTCGTCGACGCAGTCGCCGTCTCCGTTGCCGTCGCCGTCGACGTCGCTGTCGCCGTCGCGGTCGCCGTCGTCGTCGCGGTCGCCTTCGACGTCGCCACCGCCTTCGCCGTCGCCGTCATCGTCGCCGTCGCCGTCGCCGCCATCGTCGACGTGGCTGTCGCCGTCGCCGTCGCCGTCGTCGCCCAAGGACCTCGGAGGGGCCTCCGCGGGCCCGCCCGCGCGCGGGCGGGGGCGCGGGCGCGCGGCAGGTCCTCCGGGCCGCCACCCTGCTGGACGCCCTCGCAGCCGCGCCCGCGACCTGCGCGGTGCCCGCCCCTCCCCCGAGCAGGGCGTTTCCGCTTGGCCTCGGGCCCCGGGACCGTCACAGAAACAGATCGCGATCCGGCTCGAGCTGCGGCGCAAGAAGACGAGGTCCGGGGCTCCAGTCGTGATTTGCTGCGGCCCTATTCATATATATATATATATATATATATATATATTCCTCTTCGAATATTCTTATAGCGGACCCTCCCCCCCTGACCCCCCCCCCCCGTACATAAATTCGGCCCTGGGCGCTCCGACCGACGTGAAAATCGAATTTCGGCTTCGGGGGCCTCTCCCGGCTATCCCCGGACGGTCCCGCAAAGCCCGAGGACGGCCCACGACCGCTCCAGAACGGCCCATGAGCGCTCAAAACGATTTCAGGTTGGCTTCAAGACGGCCCAAGACGCTCCCAAAACGCCCCAAGAGGCCCCCAAGGAGACCCCCACAACGCAAAAATCGTCCCATTCCCTTCGGGAAACTTACAATTTTACCATATTCGCTTCTGTGGCCTTCACTGCGTCCAAGACGGCCCAAGAGGCCCCCAAGATCGCCCCAGGACGACCCAAGATACCCCCAAGAGGACCCCAAGACAGCCCAAAAGGGCTCCAAGACGGCCCAAGAGAGCTCCAAGACAGCCCCAAAAGCCCCAAAAGGCGTCCAAGAGAGCCCCAAGAAGGCCCCAAGAGGCGCCCAAGAATGTCCCAAAATGGCCGAATCCCCCCAGGACGGCCCAAGAGGATCCCGGGACAATTCCGGAGAGCCGCCAGACAGCCCAACAGAGTCCCAAAAGAGCCCCACGAAGGCCCCGACATGCCATATTATTTGATTTCCTCTAACATGCTCCGCACTCTTTCTGTCTCCAACGCCGCCACCCCGGGGGACCTCGGGACAACCCCAGAGAGCCGCCAGACAGCCCAAAAGAGCCCCATAAGGAGCCCCACGAAGGCCCCGACATGCCATATTCATTGCTTTCCGCTACCATGCTCCGCATGATTTTTTCTTCCAACGCCGCCACCCAGGGGGACATCTACGTCGCCGATGTTTTGGCTTCGGTCCAGGAGCCGACACTTTCTCCGATCGCACGCTGCCCCGTACATAGGCTCCTGCCCTCTGCCCCCTCAGAGCCCTTCCAGCTTGAAGACTCTATGAGCCATATAAGCCCCAAGAGCCATATGAGCTCAATGAGCTCTACGGCCCCTCGTCCTCGTCTTCATTGTCGCCGTCGTCGTCTTCGTCGCCGCCGCTGTCGTCCCCCATGAGACCTACAGGCCTATCAACCCCTTCAGCCTTATGAGCCCTACGAGCCCTATGACACTCAAGACCCCATATGAGCCCCAACATCCCTATGACCCCCGGGACCCCTGCGACCTCTCTTTCCCCTACGAGCCCTACGAGGCTTGCAGTGCCCTATGTGTTCTGCGAGCCCTATGAGTCCTGCGAGCCCTAATGCCTACAAGCCTCGTGAACCCTACCAGCCCTACGACCTCAATTACCCTATGACCCCTACCAGCCATATCAGCCCTGTCGACCTCATGAGCCCTACGACCCCTGTGGCGGCTCATGCCCCTGCGACCCCCATCCGCCTTATGAGATCTACGAGCCCCGCGGTGCCCTATATCCCCTCCGAGCTCCATGAGCCCTTCATTGCCCTGTACGCCCTACGAGCCCTACGACCCCAATTACCCCTACAGCCCCTACCAACCATATGAGCCCTCTCAGCCCTGAGAACCCGAACACCTACAAGCCCCACGAACCCCGTCAGCCCCACGAGACCCACGGGCCCACAAGCCCCACGAGCCCTGCGAGCATACGAGCCCTACGAGCCTCACGGGCATACGAGCTCACGAGCCCTACAAGCCTACAAGCCGACGAGCCTTACGGGCCCACGGGCCCTACGAGCCCTACGGACCTACGGGCTCTACGAGCTCTACAGGCCCACGAACTCACGAGCCCTACGGGCCTACGGGCCCTGCGAGCCCTACGAGCCCCACAAGCCCTACGAGCGTACAAGCCCCACGAGCCCTGCGAGCCCTACGGGCCTACGAGCCCAGAGAGCCCACGAGCCCTGGGCGCCCTACAAACCCATCATTCCGGTGAGCGCTGCGAGCCCGACGAGTCATCCGAGCTCAAAGGCCGCGCGAACCGCGCGAGCCCCGCGAGGCCGAAGAGCCCCACGAGGTCACGAGCCCTACGAGCCCTACGCTCCCCATGCGCCCCAGTAGCCCATGACCCCTACACGCCCCTTAGGCGTCCGACCCCTATTCCCCAACCAACCCAGCGAGTCCCACAAGCCCATTGACCCCTGGAACCCCGTAGGCCCCACGCGCATGGCGAAACCAGTGAGCCCCATGACCCCTCTGAACCATACAAACTACGCGCACCGTGAGCCCTGTGTGCCCACGAACGCTTGCGCCCCACCCACGCCCCACGAGTCGATCGCGAGCCCTCCGACCTCATGGGCCCTGTGAGCCCCATGAGCCCTACGAGCCCTACGGGCCCCACGAGCTCACGCTCCATGAGCCCCATGACGTCCGTGAGCCGCGGCCACCGAGCAACCACTATGACCCTTCAAGCCCCGCGAGCCCCACGAGCCCCCATGAGGCCCACGACACATAGCAGGCCAAACAAGCCCCACAGTTGGTCGCAGCGAGCTTTCCAGGCGCCATGCGACCAAGATTTTAAAGGCGAAGCGAAGCGAGCTGATAAAATCTTGTGTATATATATATATATATATATACCCGACGTGGCGAGCAAGCGGCAACAGCGACAAGTGATTGAGACGCCAGGGATCTCGGGGGCCCGTCGCGAGTTGCTACGATGTTCGACTTCCCCGCGCCGCCGGATCTCGGGGCCCCCCGCCGCGCGCGGCGTTTCGCGGCCGGCCGGCCTGGCCGCGGCCGCGCGCGCGGGCCCTCCTCGCGCGCCCCCCCGGCGGGTGGCCCCTGGCCGCAGCTGCTCTCGGGCCTCCCCGTCGCCACCCTCTCCGCCGCCGCCGCCGCCGCCGCCGCCGCCGCCGCCGCCTCTCGCCGCCTCTGGCCGCGGCCGCGCGCGCGGGGCAGACCTGCTCGCGTGTACCCTGGCATTCCAGGAGGGCTAGCAAAAATGGCACCCGACTTAAAAACCGACCCCAGAGCTACTCTGCGTCTTGGTTTTGGGCTGCTTCGGTCAGTTTTGTAAGTTTTTAGACCTCCAGTGCTAAAAGATAGCTCTCTGGAAGGTCAGGGGGAGCTCAGGCCTGGGATCAGCAACTTCTGCAGCCGGTCCCCCATCCGCAGCGCGCGCCCAGGCCGCGCGCGCCGCCCGACCGCGCGCGAGCAAGCGGCCGGCCGCCGGCGCCCCCCCGGCTGGGCGCAGGGGGTGGTTTCGCTGAGGTCGGGCCTGTCCCCCCACGGGGGGGTTTGGAACGACAAGTGTAAGATAGTCAAACCATATCCCCCAAATATTCGAGCACAATACGCAGAAAAGTCGTCCCCGGATTATCTGTGGACTATTTGTGAGTTGTTCCTCCTGTGGAGGGACACGCCCGGCGTAAGTTTTGTCGCCCAACGCCCCAGACTTCCGACGAGAGGGCTGCGTGGTCTTTGAAGTCGACGTGAGTTTTGCTTGGCTTTGGAGTCCGGCGTCGACCTCCCACGGCGCGCGCGATGCTTCCTCGATTTGGGTGTCTGCAGGGGCCCGTTGTCGGTTACCGGGACCATCAAGATGTGGTTCCGGGGTCAGGGGTCGGGACCTCTTTGAGGCCGCGCATGGAGAGAATAACAGACAGCCGGACCGAGGTGTAAGATCGGGGTCGGTCTGGGGAGGGTGCCCCAGTGTTCTTCGAGGCTGCTGGATCTTCTTGTGCATCCTCGGGAGGGCTCCCTTGGATGTTCTGTGTGTTTTGGCTGACGGAGGGTCTCATGTTCTTGAGGGATGTTCCTCTGGCCTAGGTCCAGCTGCAGTCGGATGTCTGGGGCGTTCCTCGCGTCGTGCTCCTAGAGAGTCTTGGGCCTCGGGGGGGGGGTACCCTCGCTGCCACGGCCAGACGCGGCATGGAAACAAATTGCCAGGGCGGGCGCGGGGAGGAGTCCGCGGACGGAGTAAAAGCAGGCATTGGTTGGGTATTTGCGGCTTCCTGCCTGTCCGTTGGGTCGTGGTCGACCGTCTGCGAGCTGACGCCCTACGGCCTGCAGTCAATGCTCATCGTAAGGATGCACGAATGTTCTTGGGTTGCACTCGCGTCCTCGCCTCTGCGGCCAGTCCTTCGCGGCTTTCGCTGGCCAGCCCTTCGGGGCGTTGGCAGTCCGCCGCCCAAGAAGTGCCAACTGCGGCGTCCGAGGCCCTTGCGTCCTTAGCGCCCGTCTTAGTATAGATTTCGATTGTGTGGTCAGTGCTACCTGCGTTCGTGCCCCGTGTATCCTGGTCGGCCGTTCGTGCGTCGATACCCTGGGGGTGGTGCCCGATGGTTGGTCTTTGATCGTCCCCTGATTGTGCTTGATGCGCTATGGCTGGTGCTCGCTGGTGCCTTGCAGTCTACTCACCGAGCGCGTTCTACTACTCGCCAAGTGCCTACTCGCAAGCGTCCGAGAAACGCACGGCTGCTTCGAAGTGATGGATCGTGGGATCGTGGACCCACCCGCTCGAAAAACGCACGACTGCACGACGCGGGGCCCGGCCTGCGCGCTACCGGCCTCTGCGCTCTCCAGCGATCCCGGGGCCCGCCATGGACCTGTCGGGCGCTCTGCTCGTCGCCGCCGCCCTGGCCCTGGTGGCCTGCAGGCTCGCGATGGCGCTCCAGAGGCAGCGGAGGATACAGCAGGCCCCCCCCGCGGTCGTGTCCGCCGCGTTCGACGGGCACCGCGGCGGCGACGCTCGGGTCGTCGCTCGGGCTGTCCCGGCCGCGTCGGCGGCCCTCGGCCCTCGGCGCCCCTCGGTGGCCTTTGGTGAAGGGGCCCTGGGACACACAAATAAATACACACAAATAACAAGATTCCCCATCATATTTTCCTATATTTTCTGGGTTTTTGTCTTCCCCCCACTTCCCATATTTTCCCATATTTTCTGGGGGATCGACGGTTAATTGTGTCTGTGTGTGTGTGTGTGTGTGTGTGTGTGTGTGTGTGTTTTCCCCTCCTAATTTGGGCGGCCACCGGCGGCCCTCGGCAGCATCCGGCGGTCCCGGGCGGCCCTCGGCAGCCATCGGCCGAGATTTCCCTTTGAATGCAGGGCTTGTTTGAGGCGCAAAACAAATGAAGTAGGTTTAGAGTAGCTCCTGAAGTAGGTCGGCGAAGTAGGTCTGCAGCGCGCCTGGCAACAGTGGTCGGCGCAGGTAACTCGAAGGGAAAGGATGGCGAAACCGATTGCCGCGAGAAACTTTCAGGGGAAAGGAATGCGACATTCATGTGCAAAAGTAGCTGTCCAGGGAAGGTTGTCGGGAACACAATCTCAAAAGTAACTTGTCGGGATCGGGTCAGTAATGATATTTTCCAAACACGCTTCTCGGGGAAATGCTGGAACGCCGCCGGCAAGGCGCGGCTTCTGCTAGCAAGCCAGCCGAGTAATTCGTGAAGTGCGCTGTCTTGGGTTCTTCTGGACTCCTTCGGGGCTTATCTTCAGGCTTCCAAAGTCTTCGGAAGCGCATGGGCCAAAAGGCCCAATTCATTCGTGTCTCGTACGATTTGGAAAGATTTCGGCTTCTCGGGGGTGTTAGTGGGTGGCTCCGCGGCCACTTGGGGCGGTCTCGGAGCGGTATTTGGGCTTCTTGGAGCATGCGGGAAACAATGTTGATACATCTTGGGGTATCTTGAACCATCTGTGAGACCGCGTTGCATTCTGCGAGGTCATGCCCCGGCTCTATCTTTGACCGTCTCGGGCGCTCCAGCGACCCGCCGCCCCCCACTGCAGACCCCGGAAGGAGGGGGGGGGGTGCATCCATCCCCGAAGGGAAGACTGGGGGTTGTTGGAACAGGAAGCGCTCTAAACCACCTCCGTCCTGAGATCTGGGGGCATTGCGTTTCCCCCTTGGTCTGACCACAGCGGGAAGTGGGGCATGGAGGGCGGGGCGAGGGCCGCGGGCCCGAGCAAGGGAGAGGGGGGGGGGACGAGAGGGAGGACCAGGAAGGTTAAGAAGGTGGGGGGGGGCTCCAGAAGGCGGGCAGGGGGGAGGTGGCGTTTCCGGGGGGAGGAGGTGGAGGGAGGCTGGAATAATGAGGACGCGTGAAAGAGGAGAGGAGGTGGAGAGAGGTGGGAGGAGGAAAGAGAAACGGAAGGGGAGTGGCGCCTCCGTCGGGCCGGGCCCGGAGGGGCCCCGGGGGGCGGGGGGCGGCCGCATCAGGTTTGGTTTCTGAAGAACCTAGGGCGCCAGGCGGCGGCCCCCTGCCCGCCAGCGGGGGGGCCGCCAAAAGGCCCTGTCCTGTCGCGGTACGTTCGCTTGTCGCCCGACAGCGAAATCGCGCGCTCGATCCTCGACCCTCGGGGGGGGGGGAGACCGCCCCCTTTGGGGGGCTCCCGCCTGTCGGGGGCAACCTACAAGTGTTTTGGGTTTGCTCACCTTCTGGGGGTACTTCGCAGATTCCTTTTTTGGCGCGCCGCCCCCGGGGGCGACTTCTGGGAAAGGCTCGGGCAAGCGTGTGCTGATGTTTCAAGGAACCGCGCCCCCAAAGTAGGTCGGAAAGTAGGTTTGCAGAATTTGTTTTTGCAAAGTAGGTTCCAAAGAAGGTTTCCGGATTCCAAAAGTAGGTTTTCGGTAGCGCAAAGTAGGTTTCGGAGGCCTCAAAGTAGGTTTTAGGAGCCTCAAAGTAGGTTTCGGAGGCCTCAAAGTAGGTTTCAAACCTACTTCAAACCTGCTTCAAACCTACTTCAAACCTTCAAACTTCAAACCTACTTCAAACCTACTTCAAACCTATTTCAAACCTACTTCAAACTGTTTTCGGAAGCATGGAGGTCAGGGATTGAAGGTAGGAGGAGGAGGAGGTGGAGGAGAATGTGGGGGAGGAAGAGGAGGAGGAAGAGGAATGGGAGGAGGGAGAGGAGGAGGAGGAGGTGGATGAGAGAGCCGGGAGGAGGATGTGGAGGAGGAAGAAGAGGAGGAGGAGGAGGAGAGCCAGGTCGAGGAAACGGAGGGCCAGGGGGAAGGAGGAACAGGAGAGAGGAGTAGGAGGAGTAGGACCAAGAGGATCCGGAGGATCGGGTGGAGGATGAGGGGCGGATGAAGGGAGAATGAGGGAGAAAAGGTAGGAACAAGAAGGGGAATATGAGGAGGAGGAGGAGTAGGAGGAGGAGGAGGAGGAGGGGGGGGCGGGGAGGGCGGGGAGGATCGGGGGCAGGAGGATGAGAACATGGATGCTGCGGCTGACGAGGGAGAGGATGGTGAGGCAAGGGGGGCGATGATGAGAAGCATGATGTGATTGATGACGAGTGGCTTTGGGGAGGGCAGAATGACCTGGGGCGGGGCGGCCGTGATAATGAGGAGGAGCCATAGCGTGTCCGAGCCCCGCCGGGACACGGCATGGGGGTTTTGCTGGGGTGGTGATTGTTGGTGGCGGCCCGGCTTGTCCAGGATGCCTTGAATTGCGTTGTTCGCCGTGCCAGTTGCTGGGGCTGCCCCAATTGATTTTTGGGTCACCCATTGTCGTGACTGCTTTTCTGGCGGGTCGTGTTTGCGGAGGTCTTCTCCGCAACCGCTCTCGTTAACTTTCTATGTTTAGTGCCCGAGGGCGCATCGCGCGAAAAGTGTCGCGGTCCCTGCCTGAAATGCAGCCCTGGCGCCCTTTCCCTTGCAAACCTTCTTGGCGAGGTTGCCGCGGCCAGGGAACGTCCCCGGGTGCACTTGCCAGGGCTACTTTGGCAGATTCGCTTCGCCAACTTAGCTGCCCGCGGCATTTGCGCCGACGCGCTTTGGCAAACCCAGTAACGGGAGGCTATATGCCCGATGACACGTTTTTCCCCGCGCGTTGCACCTTCTTCCTGGAACCTACTATGCTTGCGCACCTATCTCCCGAACCTACTTTTGAACCTATCTAAAACCTATATCGAACTGTTTTCTGCTCGCTATTGCCCTGCATTGCTGGGGGAGTCTCGGGCCATCGGCGAGCCGGAGTGGCCCTCGGCCCCTCCTCGGCGGCCTCCTCGAGGGCCCTCGGCGACACGCGGCGGCCCCAGAGCGGCCACGGGCGGCCGAGCAGCGGCCTCTCCACGGGAGACGGACCCCTTCCTCCTCCTCCTCCTCCTCCTTCTCCTCCTCCTTCTCCTCCTCCTTCTCCTCCTCCTTCTCCTCCTCCTCCTTCTCCTCCTCTCAGGCAGTTTGGGCTCGAGCACCAAATCCGTCGCCCCCGTGCGCAGGGTCCGTGCTCTAGCCTCTCCTGCACTTCCGCGCAGTGCTTGGGGGAGTTCGCTGGCTGCTGGGCCCACAGCAGTCGGCGTCAACGAAGACAGGAGACACTTACATTTTTTCTTTCTCACGAGATGGGAGGAGCATCCAAGTTTCCTTGGAGCAGATACATTCATTGCAAGACGTGCGAATACAATAGCAAGTTGGTGGCCAACAAGCAGGAGTGCTTGTCGCGTGGGAAGCAAGTGAAGTTGTTCGACCCGTCTCGTCAGCGAGGTCCGTCTCAGGAGCGACGGGTGTCTTTCGACGAAGCAGTTGAGCACATCAGCGACGACACGAACGATCAAGGTACCCATGGCCAGGGCGCTCGCAGTCGCAGCACAGGCCGCCGTCGGGGCCAGAACGATCAGGCTACTAAGAACCTCGACAGCTTGCTGGCGAAGGCGATCGGGGTCAGTGATGACCCCGAGCTCCGAGCCGCTCTGGCAGCTCAACGTTCGAAGCTGCAGGGCCAGTCGGCCGCGCAGGACGTCTCGGAGGTGGGCTCAGTGAAGCGCGCCGATGGCGCTGGGAAGCAGGCCGGCCATCGGCACGAGCAGCTGGTGAGCCAGGTGCTTCGGCTGCGGCGCCAGCTCCGGGCCGCCGAGGCTAAGGAGCAGGACGCGGCCTTGGCCTTCGCCAGAGCCGAGGCAGCGAAGAAGAGTGCTACGCGCGCTCTTGTCAGGCGGAGGGCATCAGCAAGACGGCACATGAGACTCAGGGCAAGGGCGTGCACTTCATCGTGCACATGAACCCAGAGGTTTTCGAGAAGTTCGAGGAGTGGGGGTGCGAGGAGGCCGACAAGGTCACCGTGCGCAACTTGAAGAAGGAGCTGTAGTCCATGCAGGAGTCGCTTGCCGCGAAGGACTCCGAGCTGCAGAAGTTCACGCAGAAGCTCGACGCCGTCAAGGCGGACGTCGGGGAACGCATGGGCAAGAAAAGGAAGACAGATGAGGACCGGGCCGCGGCGAGCCAGCCTCAGGAGGGCACGAATGGCAAGCCTCCGACGGGGGCTGCGGCTGCGGGGGCCAGCGCCGCCATCGCCGCGGCGCCCTCGGCGACGAACGAGCTCAAGCAGGAGGCCACGCGGCTCTCGGAGGCCAAGTTCGCGGCGGCGGCGGCGGCGCAGGCGGCGGCCGACCTCAAGTCCAAGGGCGGTGGCGCGGGCGCTGCGGCGGCCGCGGCCGGCGCTGGCGACGTCGCCAAGGATGAGTGACTATCGGGGGCGGAGCTCGGCAGCAGCGGTGCCGCTGCGAGCTCAGACGCCGCCAGCCTGGCACCCACAACTGGTGCAACTTCGGCCATTTCAAGCGAGCTGAACGCCGCCGCGGACACAAGCAGTACGGCAACCAGCTTTTCAACATCGCTGGGGGACAGTGGTGAGGCTGCGCAGAAGCAGCCCGAGCCCACTGTCAACATTTTCTTCAGCAGCGTGACGTGCATGGGGGACA